TATACAAGGTCTGGCTATTAATTTCCAGGACTCATGGAATAACTCAGAAGAAAAAAAAGTTAAACACATAGCCATTTAATATTATTCGAAGTAATCCCCATCAGCCGTAATGCACGTCTGTGCTCGGCTGTACAAATTTCGGAAAGAAGTTTTAAAGTCCTCTTTTGGAATGCTCTTTATTAGTGACGTTACAGTTTTCGTGAAGGCTTCGACATCCTGAAATCTTGTTCCCTTCAGTGAATTTTTCTGCTTAAGAAACAGGAAAAAGTATGTGCTAGGTCTGGCGAGTATGGTGGATGCTGCGACTCAACGACACCTTGCTGAGCTAAGAATCGCCTCACAGGCAAACGCAATGCATGGACGCGAACTTTTTCAATTGCTTTCGGCTTGCGTACGAACTGTGTGCGGATCATCTTCCACGCTTTCGCGTTCGAAAGCGTTTAAACCATTCAAAAGTTCTTGAGCGAGATAATGCTTCCTTGCCGTAAACTTGTTTTAACAATTTGTAGGTTTCTGCAGCTGTCTTGCCCAATTTGAAGCAAAATTTAATGTTAATTCTTTGCTCCATTTCACTTCGACAACAGGAATTTAAGAGCTCCGTTTTAATGCGCTTTTCCACGAGAACCATTCACTTCAGAATGGCGCCGATTGCACTGCACATGCGCAAGAGAACACTCTTCAATATGCAATCATTAGCGCCATCTTCCGGCTTTTCTTTCTCCTACAGTTACGTCAGTCCTGGAAATTAATAGCCGGACCTTGTATTATTCCAAATTAATGCAAAGGTATGTGTATTAATGAAATTGTATCAATTATTGAAAAAACAAACTAAATAATAAAATATAATCACATTAAATACAATCACAATGTGATGTATAATCACAATCTAATTTATAATCAAATTTTCAGTCATATTAGAAGTTCATTACGAACATGATACTTCATATGTTTTTGGCCCGACAACAGTAAAATTAGATCCTTATTTTTATTTTCTGTTAGTTTATGTTAAACGAAAAATTCTGTTTGTAGTGATCAGAAATTGGTACTGGTATTGATATCCAGTCAAAGAACTCTTGCGTGCTATCAGATACATGCTTTTATAAACCTCGACATTCGTTGTATGAAATGTTTGTTATTGAATAAAATGTTTTATACAAATTACGAATAATTTTTTAGACGACTAATAGAGAAATATCGTATTTTATAATTAAAACAAAGATTAGCAATCGGTTATTAGCGAAAAAAAAAATATGATTGAAATTTTACGCGACGCGCGCTAAAGTCAGGTTCCTCGTAGGTTAACCACATTTAAATAATAATTACCCCATTTAAATATTTGTTCATTGTCTCGAAATTACTTTTTTAAAAATAATTAATTTTAACTTTTTCTCGGCTTCTACTAAATAAAAGCAGTTGAAATTTTTGATTTTTCAATCAAAAAATATGTAGGTTAATATATAAGGTAGGTTAATATGGTATAAAAAAATTCTTACCTAATAATTCAAAATCTTTTCATCCTCAATTATATTAAGAAATAGAAAATAATAAATTATTATAAAAATTATTTTTTGCATGAAATGATCTTTATATCTCTGTAAAAATGTAACTAAAAGCGCAAAAAGTGGTCTGGTAGTGGTCTTAAGGGGTCTGAACTTTGGATTGCTCTCCTGATCAAACTATGGGGACCACACTTCCCAGATTGCGTTTACCCCATATATTTTGAGGATTAAAAATCCAAATATGTAAAAAAAATCTTTGTTTATTCAGAGAAAGTACGTTTTTTTGTCCGATTTCGTAACTTAATTAATAGTTAGAGCTACAATAATTAGCATATTTGAGGTCACCCCCAGGAGCCATTTAGATTGCACTTTGTACGTGAAACTCCGATCATTAAAACAAAAGTTATTCAAGGTGATTTTTTTTTTTTTTTTTAATCTTTTTCTCACTGTACTTGAATTACTGATCATGTGAGCTGCTCCACAGACTGCAGAGATACAACTACAGAGTTGACATTTGACGTGTTTTTACTTATGTAAGCGATATTTTTACTTATAAATTTGACACAAGTTATTTTACTTATAAATTAACACAAATTACAATTCCTTGAAAAGTTGTAGCAGTGTTAATTGCTCATTTCGAGATTTTTATTTTGTTATTTATAACAATCATTTATCTATTGTATTAAAATTTATTTCTCTCTCCTAATCGCCTTAATTATTGTTGAGAGTAATAAAAAATAAATATATAAGAGATAAATATATAAGAGAAAAATATATAAGAGAAAAATATATAAGAGAAAAATATATAAAAGAAAAATATATAAGAGACAGGAAGTAGAATGGAATTAAAGAAAATTAATCTTTTTTTAAAAAAAGATAGCAATCTAAAATTTCTCTTGCACACCACCTTTGAATTACAATGCTCAATTTCTCATCGCAATTTCCAAGGCTTTTAGGCAATGAACTGCATGCAAGGTATTCGTGTATAGGTCAAAAAATTATACCAATTGATTTCGCAAATTATTATTTATTGCCAGATAAAATTTAAAGGTGTTTCTTACATTCTTCATTGAATTCAATCAATAAAGCTTACGTTTTGTATTATCTTTTTCTTTTTCATCATTAATTTGATTTCATTTTTTGTTGCCCAAATTGACCCCCCACTAGAGTATAAGTTTTACTCAATTTTTATCAAGAAGTCTAAAAATATTTTTTAAGGGTGGTAGTTACGATACACTCTGTATACACTTTTTAATTAACTCTGACAACAGAAATCTGGTAAGGGCTATTGAAAAATAAAAACAAAATGTATCACAGAAATTGCTAAAAGGGAAGTTGGAAGTTCAAAATTCATAGACACCTCCGTGCAAAAAAATCAATAAATGAAACAAAAATTAAGTAAATAAATAAATAAGTAAGTAAACAATATAAAAAAGTAATGTAAATGAATAAATAAGAAGTTTGAAATAGTTTATCTCACCATGGGAAAGTCATTTTTTGGATGAATTTTGAGTGCTTCAGTTTCAGTCGCCATCACCCTGAAAATATTTTTTCAAGAAATTAAAAAATCGTAATATGTTAGTATGTACGCATACATCTAACCATAAATTTGTGCATTTATGTATTATAATTTTATGTTGACTGATTTGAAATTTAAGAAAGATGGAGGATATTCATAATTAAAACTGTTGAGTGTTCGAAGCTATTGAGAACTTCATTTATGCTATTCTACTTTGGATTTACTTACGGAACGACGACCTTCTTTGTAAAGAAACTATAAATTTGCGAGTTCTTTGAACTTTTAACAGAAAAATATGAATATGAAACTAATCTGGAGGCTTTTTATGCTTTAAAAACCACGTTTCTCATCATTTAAAGTAACTGAAATTTTTACATACAGATTAAGCAAATGTTTATAAAGTAATTTTGTTTCAATTATTTAATTCTCAGGTTGTTTATTCGGTCATTACTAAAAAGCATGATCTAAAATAGCGTTTTGACGTGTTATTTGACTGATAAATTGGTGTCAAGGTCTTTTATAAGATAAAAATCTATGAAAGTGAAATGCAGACTAAACAATTTTTTTATCCATTATGACATCGATGTACTACCTACTGTTTTCAAAATATTACGCTTAATTCTAAATTTACTTTACTAGATTCTTTCTTTGGAACACAGATTAAAGGAATCTATACAATTAAACTCATAAAGGCAAAATCATTTCTATAAATTCAAATGACTCGTGTTAAAACATAAAAATAATGTTTTGGTGTTAAAGCCTCTTTTTTTTTTTTTTTTAAAGATTTTAGAAAACATTTAGAGACAGAAAAACAAAATTGTCAATTATAGTTCAGAATTTATTTTAAAGCAGACAGAACAAATGCTTCGAAATCTATAAATGGAGGCTTACAAGGAAACGCATGGAGCGTAATAAAACCAATCTAATGCAATTTGGTTGGATCGGAATTCTAACGCGTAATTCATTGTACGTAAATTATGTACATGGAATTAAAATTTCGTAATTTATTAACATGCTTAAACCATTAAAAATTTTGTAGCGTGCTTGAACCTAATATTGTTTAAATTTGTTATAATCTTAATATAGGTGCTTCAACTTTATTACACAATACTATGGTGGAATTTGAACAGAAACATGGTTCAATTTAAATCTTATTTAGGTTGCAACAAATTCGCTCTAATATTATAGTTCAAAGTTGAACTCATTATTCAAGAAATATAATATGCATGATTTTGAGGTGCTGAATTTAAATATGCACTTGGCTTTCAGATTGATTGCGTACTTGTGACTTGAGACGAAGAAAACCGCTGAAATCAGATGATTGTGTATAAACAAAAAGATGGCGAATTAAAGATTGCCACTAGACTAGTTAAAGATATTACGCTCAGGTTATTGTCACGTTGAACTAATTTTCGGATTAGATTAAATCGGATACCTGAAAGCGACGTCCGTGGATGTCGAACCTGATTGGATGATGATTCATAACATAAACGAATACCATGTTTCAGAAGCCAATCAGGTTCGATACCCAGGTATCACTTGCAGGTACCCAATTAAATGATTTCTTGATTAAAGACCAAAGCGAATGAATATTTAAACTATTTTTCGTTATGATATTTACACTCTTAAGAGTGTAAATATCATAACGAATTAGTGTCTTAACTAATTAGTGTTTTAAATTCCTGCCACCCCCAAATAATAAATAGATTTTCTTAGGTTATTCGTCGATTGTTTATTGCCAAAGGAGCATGGATTATTCTTCCACTTCAAAATCAACCAGGAAACTGTCACTAGGATCCTTTACACATTAAGATCTTGAGGATTAAGAACTTCCCCAGATAAATTTCCAACTTATTTCAAAATTGTCGCGTTTACTCCACTCAGTTTCAATTATTGTCGAAAAACGTTTCCCCTGCGATTTAGAAAATAATGAAGAATGCAGATAGCTCTTAATCCTAGTAGCGCAGCGAAATATGTGAGTTTTTGCCCACAAGGTTTTGGTTATTTTTTGAAAGTTTCATATAAATTTTAAAACTCAACTTATATGTTGTAAAACTACACATCAATTCATCAATCTTTTTATAAGTTTTTTTATAATAATTTTTTAAAATTAACTAAATTACATTAATGGAAACAAATTATATTCTTAGTGATCGAAAGAGGCTAGACTTCATATGTTTTCACGTGTGTTTAGTTATAGGAGTAACATGTGTTTCTATCTAACGTGTGTATCGTCTGAATTAGTTTCTGTTTCAATTTTCAGACACATAAAAGAATTTAATCTCGGAAACTATATGGAAATTAAAACTGTACTAACCATAGTTCTTAAAGAAAACACCATGGGAATTTCAGAAAATATTTTTGTCAATTTATGGAATCGATTTTCTCCTTAGATGACATATTCGAGTGTTGTGATCGTGAATACACAATGCTTGTAGATGTACTACTGTAGCGCCACTTACTGAGCAAAGAGCAGATTATGAGAATGCAATAACTATTTTTTTAAAAATGTCTGTAACCGTTAACTGTATAAATTTAGCGCTAAATCAAATTTTCTTTATTGTGCTAGTCCCTTTCTATTTAAACATTGAATACTTATTTTAAGTCCTTATTTTTTTCGTTATAACTTAATTATTTTGAATTATACCTTAAATTAAAAAGATAAAGATGAAGCAGGTTTTAAGAATAGCTAAACTCTCTCCAAACGCCATAGCTCCTTCCAAGGGTTCAAAATTAGCTGCTGGTTATGATTTATATAGGTATTAATATTTTTATGAGTGTTAAGGTTTATATAATGGTCGTGAGTCTTATTTAATTGAATATTTTTACCCTTATGGCTATTGAAGAGCAAATAGTAATACCTACGCATTGTTTTGTTTTTCTCTTTTTAGTGCTTATGAATATATTGTACCTGCTAAAGGTAAAGTTTTGGCTAAGACTGATATTCAAGTTCAAATTCCACCTGGTCATTATGGAAGAGTTGGTTAGTTTGCTATATGATGTGAATTACACATACATTCATTTTCTTTTAGTTATTTGAAATTGATTTTTGTTATACTATTTCAGCCCCACGCTCTGGCTTAGCTGTTAAGAATTTCATTGACGTAGGAGGTATGTAAATTTTTCATTGAAGTTCTTCTTTTTATTAAGTAATATTATTAAGGCTATGCCTGTATCTTGATCTGGGAGATATTTCCATTTTGTGCACTGTTGTGTTAACTCTTCAAAGTGCGAAACAAATTTTAAATTTGCGTTTTTTTTAAAAAATAGCACCTAAAAGCTTGCCCAAAGGTGGTTACAAGTTACATCCTTTGAGTTGGTCCTATTCTATGATTCTTATTTAGTTTCTCTCAGACCTCTGCCTGAAAGTTAAGACTTGGCTATTCTGTTGCATATTACAATACAGTAGGTAATCTTCCAGTTGTGTTTTTATACTTCTCAGTTCATACCTGCCAAGTCTCATATTTTTTATCGAAGACTCCTGTATTTTACGACTGTCTCCTGTTTAACTGTATGTTCTCAAATTTCTCTGCATTTGTTGAAGAAATTTTTTAAAAAAATTTGAAATATCCACTAATTGTAAAAATACTTCTTAAATAAAAATACTTCAATAGATGGTGCTATCGCCAGTACTGCTGTATGTTGAGTGTTAATTATTTAAGTCAAGCCAAGATGGGTTATGGGGATCGATCATTCACCTTCCAATGGAGTTAACCCAGGTTCAAATCTCAGCTATTACTGGTCATTATGAATTCTGCATCCTTTCATCAACCACAGCACTGACTTGAAATATCCTTAGTGGTAGACAAATCACGGGTTAAAGTCTCCTTGTTGCCAGGCTGACTGGGAGTTTTTAATGTTTTCCCTCTCTATGTAACTCAAATGCCGATTTTTTTTCCTTAAAAAAGTCCTTGGAGAAAGCAAATTTCTTTCAATACTTGATCCTGGAGTTTCCTTTGTCTTCTGGATTGGGTTCAAAATTACAAGGCATCGAAGTTCAACATTAGTTGCAGTAAACCAAAAATTTGGTTGGTTAGTAAAATCTGTTATTTTATTTCTCCAATGTTGGCAGGTATGTCAGTTTTTTTAATTGCTAAAAGAAAGGTCAACTGCTCGTTATGAAGTACCATTAGCTTAGCTAAACGTAGCAACCTGTTCCTTGGTATTATCTTTGGATTATTGTTGCCAAGGTTATTTTAAACTCTGTTAATCTGAGTAATGGTCAGGTAGAAAAGAATCACTGTCTCAGAGTAGCCGGTAGAAGTTGATAATATTTACGGTAAACAAAAAATGTTTACAAACTATCTGTTTATGATAAACTTAGTGTGTTAGTTTAAGCTGTTGATGAACTTTCTTCTAATATCAATATAAACTGACAAAAACTATTAATTTTAATTCAAGCTAATGTAAGGGTGTTTAAAAAACAGATCTACATAGAAATTTTAGAATAAATTTTAAAATTATATTTGAGTTTTTCTATGATGTGGAATAAACTGGGTTTATAGGATTAGACTTAGCTAAGTGTTTTTTTTTTCTACTTCTGTGTTAACTTTAGTAAATATCCAATGCTTTATATTTTATAAAGCTATAGTTCAAAAAATATATATAACTTGTTTAATATAGCCCTACATAGTAATAATTTTAACCCTATAAACAAAATTTCTTTTAAATTTCATTTCTTAAAGGAAAGAATTATAGGGTGTAAATAACGGTGTAACAGACATGTTAGTGTACAATTAAGAAATGTACCAAAATTGAAAAATGGTACAACTCAGTGAACATATTTAAAGATATAGATGAGTTTTTGTATAAGTGTCAGTTTTTTCATGGAAAATAAAATTATTTTAATGTAACTAATTTGAATAAATATACATGTCTGCTATAAATAGTGAAAACATTTTAAATTTCCTACTATAGATATTAATTTTTACTCTCATTTATGTTTCAATTATGTTCTCATTTATCTTGTTGAAAATATACTGTATGGATGGGTGGTCTAATGTAAACAATAACAAGCGTCCTTAAACCGGAAGAAATTTAGAAAATTTCCGGTGTATCCAATT